GTTGGTCTCTTCTCCCTGGTAACGGGTGATAAGATGAGGGGAAATGGTCTGAAGTTGCACCAGGGCAGGTTTAGGTTGGACATTAGGAAAAATTTTTTCAATGAAAGGGTTGTCAGGCATTGGAATGGGCTGCCCAGGGACCTGGTTGAGTCCCCATCCCTGGAGCTATTTGAAAGATGGGTAGATGTGGTGCTTAGGGATGTGGTTTAGTAGTGGACAGGTGTGGTTGAACTTGATGATCTTAAAGGTCTTTTCCAACCAAATGATTCTATGATTCCATGATTATTTTTCCACTGAACGCCATAAGAGTCTTCGCAGGGACAACAGTGTTCCCATACCTTAATTACTCAGCAAAGTTTTTATTCTGGGCCATGTTCTTAAACTGGTGAGCTGACTTGCCAGAGACATTGCACTCACTGTGTTATGTCATCAGGCAAAAGTTTTAATTCAGAACAAGGTAGCCTAAAGTGAAGGTAGAATACATATTCCTCGATTAACTGTGTGTTGCCAAGCTTGCTAGAAGGTTCTTCATTTACTGTGTTTGTGAGTGTGTAGTATTTCAGGTTATTTAGTTAAAATTTAGAAGCAAATCCAAAAAAGAAAGAAGCAGAGCTTGCAAGAATGGCAAGTGTGGAAACCATACAAAACCTTGCTATAAAGCCCATCCTGGCACCTCTGAAGGGATCTCACACTTGCTTTTGTTTCATACCATTCATTTCTTATTTTTTTCTTCCTTTTTTTTTTTTTTCTTTTCTTTCTGATTTACACTGGTGTAACTTAGAGGAGAGCTGATCATCTCTCTGCAGCCATGGCCCAGCATCAGCCACTTCAGCAACGGCCCTCACATACAGCACATGTGTCTGGAATGTATATATTCTGGTATAACACACCTAGGTTGTGTTGTTATTGCACAAAAGTGGCAACTCCATGTTGAAAACAGCTAAGAGGCCCACCATGACCATCCCTTTATTGATCCTTTGGAGATTTTGGCCCAGCATTTAGAGCTTTTATTAAATAATACCAATACTTGACAAGTGGTGTCTATATTGTCCTTCTTCCATTAAGCAATACAGACATGGCTATTAAAAATAAAAGAAATTGTGCCTGATGAATTTTTGTTTTAAGAAGCTATTAGATTATTCTAATATGGCCATGGAGCTGGCAGACTTTTGGCAGGCTTCAAATAAACATGCCAGAAATAATTTTGTTGACAGCATCTTGGATTGGAGCACAACCAGCCTTCATCCGTAACATGTCAGTGCAGTGATTCTTCCACAGTCAGGAAAATATGTCATCACAGATCTGTATTTTAGAGTCTTAAAACACTGTAGTTGTCTGGATTTATGGCTTCAAAGTCAACTTCACAGGCGGGTAGTGTTATTTTTCAATCATAAATGAAGATGAAAGCGATAATATTTACAGTTTTTAATATACAGCACCAGTGAAGTGTGCTTGTGTTAAAACCTGTGGTAACATCTGTTTTACTTTCCTAATCCAGAACCAATTAAGGTTTTATGTAAGAGAAAGAAGGGGGTAGGAAACCAACAGCAAAGGAGAAAAGGAGAAGAGCCAGGCTGAAGGGCTTTAGCTTGCTTGCAGCGGTCGTGCAGGCATTTCTGTTAGTTCTTCATGAGAAGCACAGTGCAGGTGACTCCTACCAAGGAGTGACTTCTTTTTAACACGTCCTATTTCGCTGTTGTCAGTAGGATCATTTCATCAGAACAGAAATTGCGCGTGCTCGGTTTATTTCCATTTGTGTAATACATTCAGATTTCAGTATTAAGACCAAAGTGGTGTCTTTAGGATTAACAGCCATGGTTCATGAAGGCTATCTGCTTGCTGTTTGGTTTAGATCTCTGTGTTTACATCTGCAAGCTGGGATCTTTCAGGAATGGGCAAATTATTGCTTTGTGCTGTGCGTTGGAAACGAACGGTTTGAGGCGCCACTTCAAAAATGTTATTTAAATGCCTGAATCTGTACCTGCCTAGGGCTTAATTAAACACCTTCCTGGCTTTGGGCCCAAGCACAGAGGCTTTCCCGAGCAACGTGAACAGGCAGCTGATGTCCGCTTGCGGGACCTCCTGTTGAAGAGGTGGGAGTTTGCTGCCAAGGGCATGGGGTATCATGGGCCGGTGGTGAGGCTGTAACCTCCTGGAGGTAAAAGCTGGTCACAGTGATACAGACACATCCCTCTGGGATTCACAGAAATGCAAATAGGAAAGATCTAAGACGCCGGTGCTAGCATATATATGGCATGATGTGTATGCAGCAGATTTGCTGTAAGTGATTCCATCGAAAGAGACTTCAAATGACTGAGAAGAACAAAAAAGCTGCTTTCCAAACCTGTGCTGAATAAAGCTGTTTACATTTCTTTGAAATGTCATTTATCGTGTCTTATCAGGGGAAATTTCCTGATGGAATTTTGAAAATAAAATGAAAATGTTCCTTTGTGCTTCCCTGCAGTGTATTAAACCCCGAAGTTTTGTTTATGAATAGTTTTCCTTCTCTTGATACATTAGAAATTCCCAGCCTTTTTTGTTGTGATTTTTCTCAAATATTGATTGGATGACTGAAGGATTATGATGTGATAATGGATTCAGTGGAAGTATTGATGGCTGGAAAGCCTAAGCATGTGTGTGGATTTCTATCACACTGGGACCCATGGATGGGGAAACCTCACTTAATGCAAGGTTTTGTTAAGCTTTTGAACTACATCTGGGTTTGTAGATCTAATTCAAGTCTATGAACTATTTTTTTTTTTCAATTTTAAAACTTCCAGCCATTATGGGGGGAGAGGGTCTTTAGATTATTTTGAGGAGTGTGACTGTTGCCATCAGCCCTGTGGTGCTGCCTGCATCTTCCCTCTGTCCTTCAGACATTGCCAGGGCTTGGCTGGGGAGAAGCACTGTGGTTTCTCAGCTGCTTCCCCCCATTTCTCCTGTCACCCCTTCAGGACCCACGGTGCCCTGCTGTGAGAGGAAGAATATTTCTGCCACTTACTAACAGGACCTGGATTCTTCTCCTGGCTTTATTTCTCAATTTGTATGTGACCCCGTGAAAGTCACAGACTCTCTTTTGGGCCTGTTTGCATCACCTGAAAAATGGGGACCATAACAGTTTCCTCAAAAAGGTGTTAGAAGACTAAATTAATTAACATTTGTATACATGCTTAGCATGAAGACGCTATAAAACTGCAAGTATTTATATTATTTTTTGTTTGCTTGTTGGCAAAATTGCATTTCTCAAGGCTCCTGACCCACTATTCAGATTTTTCTCCAGTAGGAATAATAAACTATACATTTTTTCCTTCAAATTATTTTTCATTTCAAATAGAAAGCCAAGTAGAAATGAGGGGAAGGCAAGGAGGGGAGGAGTGCTAACCTCTACCTCTCTTTTCCAAAAAGAAGAGAACCATCGTGTCCTTTCCAGAACTAGAATAAATAATGACATACAGATGTTACCTCAATGTTTAATGTCTTGAACCTGGCTTTCCATTGCAGATTTATAGGCTTTGTAATGGATAAATCCCCAAACATACAGGAAGAGAGTCTCAAGATTATCTTTTTCTGTGAAATGGATTCTTGATATGGAAATAGTTGAAAAATATTTTCTAGTGTTTTCTGAAATCAAAACTGTGAGGTTTGCCTGACCCCCCTGTTCAGGCCATGTGGCTGTGTGTAAGAAAAGGTTACAGTAACACTGAAACAAGCTCTCTGAATTACAGAAAAACTTAGTCTATTATAAAGCTTCTTGTTTTCCTGAAAAATTAAGAAAGAAAGAAGAATCTTTGAAGAAGTACCAGCAGGGCTGTCTTAGACCCACCACCCCTTATAATAAAGGAAATGAGGCAAAGATTCTAAATTGGTGAGGTCGACAAGGAGGAGGAGCATCCAGACTTGTCTGGCTGTGAGGTCAGATCCCTCGGGTGAAGTCAGCCTTCCAGAAAAGTGGAGTGCACTGATATTTCATACAATTCCCAGAGATGCTTCAATGCATGCACAAAATCACATTTAATGCACAGTGCTAAGGGGAATCCAACAAAAAGCATGAAAGAGATAAAGTGCAATAAATATTTAAGATCTTGTGAATGCAAACACAGCACTTCATAAAAACCTCAGCCTCGAGAGCAGGGGCGCCGTGTACATCATAGACAGAACATATGGTACAGCTGCAGTGAACTCAAAGCTGATCAGTGAATAGCAATGGAGCTTTTATTCTAAAGTTTTAAGGACGTGACTAAATTTAATGTATATGCTAGATGTGAAGCCTATCTTCATGTCCTTAGATCTACCAACCTAGGAATGCATGCAAGATGGCCCGAGGAGATGTGATGTTTTCTGGGAAGGCAGAAAAGTTCACCATGGGGATATCTTTATTGATTTTTTTATCTCCATACATGCCCCTGTGAATTATTTAGCTTCCTAAATTCTTCTCTATCATCTTATTATAAAAGTCTCTCGGAAGTTACTGTAAAGCTCTTTATTCCCAGACTTAATGAGGTTTGGTAGGAAACTGGCTTTGATAGGTGAGTTTGGATGAATGCTGATGTGGGCGGCTGGTGCCCATTACGCGAGGAGGTGCTGGGAAGCGTGGGTTACATTACCAAGCATCCTATGGGTGCATTGCATTTGTTCATTGTATGATCCAACTTGGGATGGATTCAATTAATACTGCAACATATTATAATGAGATGAATTGTGTTTGGCTTACGAGCTTCACCCACCATGGTCAGCAGGGTGCATGGTGTGGTTCTGCGGACTTACATTGCTGTTTGGATTCTGCTGTTTGTTTCCTCATCTAAGTGCCTTTTCTAAATGTTCCTTTTCCTTTGATGTTTCTAGGAGCTGGTGGGGAGTAATCCTCCTCAAAGAAACTGGAAAGGAATTGCAATTGCCTTACTTGTTATTCTCGTTATCTGCTCCCTGATTGTCACCTCTGTTATACTCCTGACACCAGGTATTTATAACCTTTAACTCACTTCCAGTCTGTTTTTCTTCTGTAATTTTATATTTCCAAGGGTAGAGCGATTGCAAACTGACTGCAAAGTCAACATCAAAGGAATCATCCTTCCTGTTCCCTAGCTTGGTTTGAACTGAGTTCAAGGCTGTTCTTAGGTAGATTGTTTTAGAGTTTTACATTCCTATTCAAAAGATCAGGGCTGCTAAGCTGAAGGTACAAGGGTGAAACTTGGTTGCCTAAACACAGATGGGGAATTTAATTTTAGATGTGCCAGGGCATGAGAGACATCTACATAGGGCAGTCAGTTAGGGCACAGGACATCCTGAAATTCATGCCCACAAGGAGCAGCAGCCGCCAGTTGGGTGGCATATCCTAGAGCATCTAAACCAGCATTAGATGCCTGTTCTTAGGCACCTAAATCCCATCCCATTCAGCTGTACTGATTTTTAAATCAGGCCACAGTCTTCCAGCTTTACAAAGGAATTCCAGATAACCATGTGTCGGATAGCTCTTAACCACAGCAAATAATTATTAACTTCCCAGTAAGGGATTCTTTAAGTTAATCCCCTTACCAAGTTTCAGCAAAGTTCTGTGCACATAACCTCCGTAAGTTACTCCTCTTATGGTAGCTGCTGAGGTGGTAGGCTTGAATTGGAATGTATATCATTATGATTATTGATTATGACATATTTATACAGCCCTGTAAATTTCCATGACTACTTACAGAGTAGAAATAATGTGCTTTTGCGGCTCTGAGAATCTTGTGGTCTGAATACAAAAAGACAAACGAATGTGAGAAATGACATACGAGACGTGGAAAAGAGAATACACTGTCAGAAAGAGTGAGCAGCTACAAAACACAGGAGAAGGCAGAAAGTCCCCTGCAGAGGGACGTAGTGGAGAAGAAAAGGGGCTCCTTCGTGGATGAGTACAAGCGAGTGATTCTAGGGGACAGCAGGACTGAGAGCACAGAGCTGAAGAAGGGAATGGAGGCAAGGGAGAAATGAAACCGTAGGAAATGGAAGAACACAAGAGAATGAAGTGGAAAAATTATATGGAAGTTGAGAGGCAGAAATTTCTAGCTCGTAGCATGTGCTGTACGGTAGACTGGAGACAGCAATACATCAAGAAATACTGAGTTAATTTGAAAATGAGTGAATCAATCGCTACGTTGTCCTTTTGGTTATTTATCGTCATGCCATGTTCAGTTTATTTCATGCTATCTTGAAGATTTCAGTGTAAATCTAAGTAGCTAATGGTCATGCCAGATTAATTAAGTAATTAATTTAATTAAGTTTAAACCTAATTAAGGATCATTTTTTAAATTACTTTTGCTAGGGTTCAGATTTAACACCTTTGGACAGTGCAGTTCATCTCTGAGATGTTTTGGGGCATGGTCTGTGGACTGTGCCCGCATCAGGTGCCATTTATTTGCAGTTAGAAATATTGTCCTTCACCCATTAGGTATGAAAATGTCGCCTTCCGTTTTAAAAAAGTGCAGTCCCAGATTTTTCAAATATGCACGCTGAAGCCTGAATTCCTAAACCCATACCTGTGGGCTTCAGGAAGCTGTCAGTGGCTCACACTGCATAAGTGAGACCATGGGTGCCATTTCCATTGAAGAGCAGGATTCTGTACAGATGGATACATGGGGAGAAGCATAAACAGACCTGTACTGTCCTAAGTACAGTCTAAGTCACAAGTCTTTCCTTTTACAAGACCACTCGCAATAATGATTCCTTTATAAAGGTGGTCAGAATTGTAACTGGTGAGGACTTAGCAGCTCTGGTTTCAATTCTGGGCTCTACTGTAGACCTCATTTAGGACTTCTCCTGAACCCCACTCCCACTTCTCCATAAGAAAATCATACATAACATCACTAATGACTATTATGACTATAGATTCTGCAGTGCTGTTGCCCAGGTAAGTGCTTAGACAGAAAAGGTGACCTGAGCATGTGTGTATGCACACCCATATACACATAAACCACACAGGTATCAGTATGTACTTAGCAACAACTCCAAATAGCATCTTTGAGAGAATCTCTGTGCGTAAGATTTAGGAATATGCAAAGTCATTTTCTATGCTAAAATTTCCATTCATGTTTTTTGAAATTTCTAATTACCTGGTTTGCGAAAACTGGGTTTGGCTTTGGGGTTTTTTTCCCTACTAGTGTTTCAGAACTGTGCCCTACATGCAAATTCAAAAACTCTGAGCGCAGCACTGCTTCTGTTTTTATTATGGATCCAGGCTGCTTCATGGTGAGACTCTGCCAAGGGTAAAATAGATAGCTTAGGTTGCTGCTGTGGCTTGGCAGAAGCTGAATATAGGCTTCTCTTGGGCCACTGGCCCTGGAGCTTGTCACAAGGACATGCTATGGTACAGGGTAACAGGAGGCTCCTTTCGCAGGCGTTTCCCACCTGCCAGTGCTAAGTGAGACATTGAGGCTGGCTTGACAAATGAAAAAAGTATTACATTGCTCATCCCGACTGGGGATAGCACATCCCAACAAGGTAGGAATGGGGAAGATACAGGAACCTGTCCAAAAGGACAAGCAGAGTCTGCATTTACCTGACATAAAATAGTTCACTAGCAAAAGAAATGTTTATCCAACAGTAGTCAAGCGGAAAAGTAAGTGATGGGTGTTTGAACAAGAGGTGAGGAAGGGACAGGAGGACTGGGAAAGGAGAAGCAGCAGTTTTGTGGATGTTCATGGGATGGGAAGCTGCTGCCAAATGTGAGTGGCATCAGAAAAAAACCCAAACCAAACCTCTTCACTGGAAATCTCTCGAGCGAGGTGATGCAGTCTGGCACAGCAGAGCACAGTGCTTGCAAATACTTCAAAATTTTTAAGTCTTCCTTCCGATGATAATGTTGGAGTCCACCCTGATACTGTTCTGCTAGTACAGATATCCTTTTGAATTTTCTCTCTGAATTCCTTACTTGTACCTGTCTATCTTGGCCCTCTCCCTGGCTAGGCAACCACTCTTCTCTAAGTATTTTACTGCTGATTTGAAAGCCTGTTTTGCAGTGCAACACCAAGGCATGCAATGCAGAAATGCTCTAAACCCAGTGCTGAACGTGATGCTATGCTGTGCTATGCTGTGCTGTGCTGTGCTATGCTATGCCTACAGATAGTAATTTGGGGCATCCATGCAGCATCCAGGCTTGTAGTCCATGTTCAAAGAAAAGTAGTTAACTGGACCCATAACTTGAATCGTGATGGTGGTATTTCCTAATACTGTGGAAGTTGGGGTAGTCTCCTGCAAAACCAAGGATGAGTGGTAGAGTGGGAAATGGGCAAGGTTTGCTTAGCAGAACAGATGCTGATTAAGGTATTTAAAAATTGAGGAAAGAAAAAGGATTTATATATCTCTTCAAGATTCTTTTGCAAATCAGCCCAAACCTTTAAAGAAAGTTTTAACTCTGGATTCAGCTTCAGCAAGGCTGAAATCCCTATGGGTTTGGGTTTCTCAGAGGCAGGTCACTCACCTGGCTTTAAGATTAGCTCATAAACTGGGAACAGTGCTCTTTGCATTCAGCAGGCATTGTAATTACAATAGCAGTGCTTTATTGCTTGCTAACGCTTAGGTCTTATTTTATAAAATCCTAATATAATCTCAACATCTCTTTGATTTGTAAGTCCTTTGGTATTCTAGAGCAACATTCTCCAAAGAAAAAAATGGCAAAAGTAACCAGTGAAAGCTTGCATTTCTTTACACTGGAGTATGCCGCGTGCACACCATTGCCTACGCTGATGGACTCTGGTTTCATGTGTGTGAGTCCTGCCGTTCCACCCACCCATGAAAAAACATGAAGTTCTTTATACAAATTATAGAAGTGTGGGACTGAGCCTTTCCTAGCTGGTGGTTGCTCACTTGTCACAGCATATGGCACCTGTATGGGTCCTGTCCTAGCAGTGTTGAGTGTTTTTGTATAAACACATGCGAAAGTTTATAGTTATGCATGTGTGTGCGCACACACACATGTCAAAGCTAAAGAGAAGACTCAATCCTACAGAAATTTTGATTTAAAAAACCTCCCCAAAATTCCATTAGATATTTTGCTAAGGAAAAGGCTGCTTTCTAGTCCCCTCTGTTTGGAAACGGAGGCAAACAAGCACTTTTTGCACATCTGTTCCTGATATTTAAAGCTTTGCAAAGATACACATCAAGTTTGCTCCTTTCAAATCTGACCTTTAGCTGAAAAAAAAGAGACTCCACCCAACTCCACATGAAAATTTTTACAAAATTCATAGGAGGTAATTTTCAGCAATGGTACTGAGGTAGTCGTTGTATAGAATTAATTCACAACATGCTGTCAGACAGCCAAATGCATTGCCTAGTAAGCTCTGTATGACTTTTGCTAATCAAGAAGAGCAAGGAAATATCCTGTGACCAGCTGTGCAGGAGTGGAATTTGTTTGTTCAGAACTGTTATACAAAAATTTGCATTATTTGCCATTAAAAAAGAAAAGTGGGATTTTACAGAAGGGAGCGAGGCTGCCTGTTTGCCTTGTCTGGCCCCTGCCTGTTTGGTACAGGGAGGTCGTCTGGGGGAAAAGGGTCTCAGGTTTGCCCAGGGATTGAGCAGGTATGCTGAGGGAGCTCCTGACGTGCTGGGTCAGGTCTGCCAAGAAGTGGAGATTCATGGACACACACTCACCCGTGTGCTTGCAATGCACAATAGCCCAGGAAAAGCATCTGACCCTGATCTGTAGCTGAGCCCCAGGGATTACCAAAAGACAGGTAGGCACCCAAAGGTGGCTGAAACTTTCTGACCCATCAAGAAGCCTCCGAGTGTTGCTGGAGTCGAGAGGAATCTTGAAAGAAAGGGTTGGTATTCCAGAGGCCAAACAGGCAGGGAGGGCAGCACATAGCCCTTTTCTGTTCGAGTTTTCTGGGTTTCTGGGGGATCTTTGTTCTGCTTGTGTTCTGGAAAGCGAGGTTTTATCAGTTCAGCCCATGTCCTTTTGGGTGCACTGACTTCAAGGACAAGGTGCAGACAGATGAACCCAAAAGGTCTGAGCAATGCAGGGTTCCCATCGTGCCTTTAACATTGGATCAAAAATAAAACAGACATGGTTTCCATTTGGTTCTCCCAGCACATAACTTTTTTGTTTGAGTTTCTGACTTGGCACTCCAATCGCCATTCCTTGTGCCACCTGCACTGCTGCCATGCTTCTGAGCTGTCCGGCCCTGGTTGGCAGATGCCAATCGGGGCTGCTAGGGGCAGGGGACACAAGTGCAAAAAAGGTGGTGGCACATGCTTGATCCTCTCCTTTCCTAAAGCCAAGGAGGCCTCAAGGTCTCTGCAGTTGGCTGTGGACACAACTGGTTAGACACAGGCTTAGACAGTCTGAGGCATGCTCAGAGACTGCTGCTCAGGAGAGGGTGGACTACCCGAGGTCCCACAATTGCATTTCTTCCTCTGTAATGTCTCCACTGGGGCCAGAGGAATGGAGCAGGCATTCTTAATGCATGCTCTGACTCACCTGTGTGTCAGTAAATCTGATTTTTTTACATTGATCTATTGATTATTTAGTTATTTGTTTTCTCCCCAGCTCTATGGCTGAGATTAACGTTGCCCATGGTTCATTATAGGAGCTATTGCAGCTATTAGAGCCTGCTGCAGGAGGCAGTAGGGGAATCTCAACAAGAAACATGCCTTATGGAGGCTCCTGGGTGTGCATGTTTTATGCCCTCATGGTGGGGAAAAAGGGTGTCCGTGTTCTTCAGGATGGCATTTTTGGAAGCGGCGACCGAAACAGCTGTAAGCCCAGGGCTGTATGTGGGCTCCCACCTCCTGCTCTGCACCACCTGATCTCCCCGAGTATCCAGTGCTGGGACCTTGCACCGTGGTGGGAACTTAATTGAAACAGTTTCCTGGAGTTTCTCTGACCTATATTTTCCATTTTAATAAGTAAAATTATGGAGAAGAACTTGGCATAATGCTGTCACACAGAGGGATTTGGCTGAGGACTTGTATTAATGTGTCTTGGTATTTGGAAGCTACATTGAGCAGTGTGATTGAAACCTCAATCAGGCTTCAAAAAAATATGAAAATTGAAGAATATAATTTAATTTGGTAAAAATGGCACTTTGTATTGAAACGCCTTTTAGTGGAACAAAACATTGTTCATAGGTAATTTTCAGTGTCCTCAGGTAGCTCAGGGACTTCAATTTAGTGTAGTAAAGAAGACTTTTTCACTCTAATGGCTTCCGAGAGTCTGTTTCCACTGTTTCTAATCACCAGTGTATCAGTGTAGCAAGTTCAGTACTAAAAAAAATGTTAAAGATATCTAAGGCTGCATGATACCAATAGACCTCAGGCATGAGGATGCTGTAGTGAGGAGAGATGCTGAAGCACGTATACCTGCTGTGGAAATACTCAGAATGGGGCCTCAGACGTTCCTTTAAAGAGCAAATATGTTTAAACTGACTGAAAGTTTTCCATGAAAATATTTTTTCAGCAAAAAACTGAATGTTGGAAACAAATTATTCATAGAAGGTGACTGCTTGTCATAGCAAAAAAAAATCAGTCAGGAGAAAAAAGAAAAGAATAAGTTAATAAAAATTGTTGGTTTCCATTTTTCTCTAAAAATTTCAGCTTTGAGAAAATAAAAATCCATTTTCACATTAACTAAGCACCCAGTATAGGGTCCTGTGTTGTGATATATATACGCTTCATCTGTAAGGCCCAAGAATCCGTTGATTCAACATAAACACTCCAGTCACCAGCACAGGAGCATCTGAGTTGCGTTTATGAGGGTTGTTACAAAGCGGAGAGGTGGTGATGGACATGAGAAGCTATAATGTTGGCACAGGAGAAGATGCTAGCTGTAGCAAACTTCAAGTGGTAAAATTTGTGCCTTGGATTTACTTGGTTTGACTCATGCGTGTTTAGTCTTGGTGGCATCCTAGGTGAGACAGATTTCCTTTTAACAATGATATATACGCAGACAGAAATCAGTTGGCATTTCCTTCAGATTGTGCTTTGCATCAGAAACCTGTTGGCATCTCTGAATCACGAGAAATGCGAAGAGGACTGCATGAAGGACAGCAGAGGAGGACGTTCAGCAAGTATTTCTTTCTGGGAAAAGCGGATGCTGTAGAGTTAGGAAGAATGAACTAAACCAAGGACACTTCATTACAAGTTGACCTTACAGCATCTTAAGCTGGCAGTCTGGTTCTTCAATTTAAAAGCTGTCCAGATTTCCATGTTTGCAAAGGAAACTGTATATCTTTGCACCAAAAATTAAAATTAGTATGGGCCAGCTATGCAACACCTAAGGATTTAGGGTTATATCTCAGATTTTTCAAAAATATTTCTGCAGTCAAGTGTCGGATTCCCATGGAAAATGTTTTGTGAATTCCTGAAGTAATCTGTCTGAGCCCTTATAGGGCTAAATACCTTTCCAACTGTGGTTCTGTGTGATAGTTTTTAAGGAAATAAAAATAAAAGCTATAAAAAACTTGGTTGCTTTTAATTATTTTTTAAAAATTTAACTAATAATTTCAGAATAGTCTTAGTGTTAAGTAGCTTTAATTTCCTTAGGAATAGTCAGCACTGTATAGCACTGTGACATCTAGAGCTGTGTTTTTATGACTTTTAAAATAGTTTCTGATCTGATTATGTCTGAAAATGTGTGTTTTGGACCATATCTTGCACTTTCTGTGGTTGCTGAGTCCAGGCTTAAATAACGAGGAGGTTTCTGTTTGTGAATCACTCTGTGGTCCTTTTATAACACTGGCAATGGGAAGGGGCTTATGTGTGACAGAAGGCTTACGTGGACCATTTCCCAATGAGAATCGTAGAATAGAGGCACGGCATGGCACTATTCACAGTTGCTGTAATTTCAGACACATTTCAAAGTAGAAGTAATGGCAGTTTGTTTTCAAATGTTTTACAGTTGAAGATAACAGCTTGTCTCAGAAGAAGAAGATAACAGTGGAAGATCTCTTCAGTGATGATTTCAAAATTCATGACCCAGAGGCTAAATGGATAACTGGTGAGTGAGGCATGAATGTGTCGCAGTGTCTTTGCTTCCTCATTCTCTGGGTGTCTCTTATTTACTTCTTAATTCCTCCTGTTCTTTATTTTGCTCCTGAAATTATAGAATCAAGGAGTGGTTGAGGTTGGAAGGGACCTCAAGAGATCATCCTGTTCAACTTCCTGCTCCAGCAAGGGCAGCTAGAGCTGGTTGCCCAGAACCATGCCCTAAAATTCATTCCTCAAATTCCTATTCCAGCTTTCCTCCTGATAAACATGCAAACACCACTGCTCTGTTATTATGAATTTTTTACTTAAGGCTGTCCAGTGGGTTCATAGCTAGGCATTGAGAGCTTCTGGCATTCAGTAGGTGATGTAGCACGTGGTTGGAAGAAGTGGTTGAAGCACTATGACCGTCATTATTTTACCATAAACAAAACTTAAGCTTTATATTCCTGGCAGAGAGGTGAAGTATTGCTAAGCAACAGGCAAACAGCGGCCCAGCAGCAGCTGGGCTGGTGCTTGCACACAAGCCATGTGCTTTCTTTATCCTCTACTGCCTTATGTTCTCTAGTCAGGGGGAAACCAAATAATACTTGAATTAATGCATGTAGTATTTGCTGGAGTAGAGCTGTTTTGGGGGATGTAGATTCCAGCTCTCACTGGAAATTGCTGCAGTCTGAACAAGCTTTGGCGAGAATAAAATGATTTGTGGTATGCCGTTCGTGTAGGTTCCAGTCCAACTTCTATTATCACTAAAGTTATTAGTTTTCCTTTTGAATTTAATGGGGAACTGGATCGAATCCTTCCTTGCGTTTGGCTTTCCTTGTCTGTTATGCCCGTTGGGAATAATTTTAATGCCTGTAATGAAAAGAGAGAGTGTTAAAGGGTAGTGCTGAATTAACACATTCCCCAGCCACCCTCGGCACAGCTGTCTCCGACTTCTCCCACCAATTCAGCTACAGAGGAAAGCAATTGCAGACGGTACACACCTTCACAAACACACCTGCCGATGGGCGGGAGCTCTTTTTCAGGTTGCGCGCTCTGGGGCAACGGTGCTTCCCATAACCACTCTCTGGGAATAAGGATACTGGAAATATTAGCTACATTGCAATTCAGAATGATTTGTCTAGCATCCTTTTTTTTAGCACAGATATCCCTAATGGCCCTGATGAAGGAAGAGGTGTTTCACTGAGATCTTTAGTGCTATTTTCTTTATTTGCTATAATATGAGGGATAATGAATTAAATAAACTTCTACAGGAACAGAGAATGAAGTATTGCCAGGGAGCTACATATAACATCCCCCCTCTGATGAGTCGAGCTTTACATGGATGTAAGACATATTTTCCACAAAACTGCAGTCTTCTGTGAAAAAAACAGTATTTCCCCTGCTTTCCTAATTATGATCGCCTACTGGTTCCATCTAAACTTTCATTAAGACTCCAGTCTTGAATGTTTTAAAATCCATCTCCATCCTCCCATATGCTCTCACTGACACAAACTCAATTTAACATCAGGCTTGCCTGATCTGAAATTGCTAAAATATTGTTTCTGTAAAGGACAAAGCACAAAGTAGTATTGTGCAAACATGCATAGATATTTTAGAAAGACTTGTTCTGGTGCTGTGCTACTAAAACCACTGATACTGACAGAGAAATTTTATGAAGCAAATAGATATTCTCTAGATTTACCCAAGGGTGACTTCGCATTTAAGGGCAAGACGCTAATCTGCAATGTCATTCACCCAAGGACCCAGAGCTATTTTACAACATTAATTACTTTTCTGCATTATAGTTGCTTTTCACAGTTTTCTCTAGCTGGCTAAGTGGTGAAATCTTGATTAAGGTCCCTGATAAGGAAGATGAAAGACCTGTAGCCCGATTCCCAAGCACACTGAGATTGCTGTTGGTCTCTTAGTCTCAGTTTTTAGAATGCAAATGAAAGACTGAAAATGCCTAAGACAAACTAATAAAACTTAGTATAACAAGAGTTCTGGAAAGCCTTAGCAGAAAAATTGCATATTTAAAAATTGCATGTTTAAAATTGCATGTCAACTCACAAAATGAGTTGACATTTGGTGAGGAATCCACACCATTGTTAAAATATAGGTAGCTGTTGTCTATCCTTCTTCCCATCCTTCTCCTAGAAATTATATATCAAAATATCACAGTAATTCAGAGATCTGCAAAATTCAGTCTTCTTGGCTCTTCAAAGCTCTATTTCCTTCCTTTCACTCTTCATTTTTGCAGAAGATGGGAGTTTGGTAGCCTCGCCAAAGATGGAGCATTTTGCATGTTTGGAAATATTTGAATCATCTGACAGATTTGCTTCCAAAATAGTTCAGTCAGTAAAATATCTGTGTTCTTCCCGATAAGTGAGGGGCTGATTCAAACCCTCTGAAGGAGCAAGGGCTTTCCTTTGACTTGAACGAGTCTTGGAGCAAGTGTTAAAATAAAATTGTGGTGGGTTGACCTTGGCTGGATGCCAGGTGCCACCAAGCCGCTCTGTCGCTCCCCTCTTCAGAAGGACAGGTAGGGAGAGAATGAGATGGAAAAGAAAGAAAACTCACGGGTCAAGATAAAGGCAGTTTAATAAAAAAAGCAAAAGCAAAGGCCGTGCATGGTAGCAAAAGGAAAACAAGATTTTATTCTCTACTTCCCATTAGCAGGTGATGTCCAGCCACTTCCCAGGAAGCAGGGCTTCAGTATGCGTAGCTGTTGCTGCGGAAGACAAAATGTCATAAAAGATGAATGCCCCCCTCCTCTTCCTTTTCCCTTAGTTTTTATATCTGAGCTGATGTCTTATGGTATGGAATATCCCTTTGGTTCATTTGGGTCAGGTGTCCTGGCTATGTCCCCTCCCAAGATCTTGCCCCCTCCCAGCCCACTGTTGGAGGGGGTGTGTGTGTGAATGTTGGAGACAGCCTTGATGCTGTGCAAGCACTGCTCAGCAGTAACCAAAACATTGCTGTGTTATCAACCCCTTTCTCTATACCAATAGAAAGCACAGCACTATGCAGCTCGACCCAATACAAAAATAAAATAACATTAAAAGAAATATTACTATTCAGGTTGGCACTTAAAAATATGCTAAAAGCTCACTGAAACTGATGGGATGAGCTGATGCTTAGGCATTTCCTTGATTTGCAGTGGGCAAATGGAAAAATAATGTATTTATGAGCAATAAGTCTGTCATTCCAATGATTCCAAAGGAGTTGGGGGGAGGGGGAAATAAAGAGAAGCAGTCTCAAAGCTGATGTAACTACTCTTTCAGTACAAATATTACAGGCTTTCTCTTAGTTTTCAATCACAACTCGTGGCTGGTTAGTGGATATGTTTGCATCTTTTTTATTGGAATTGCAGCTAAATTTACTTTCACAAAGTGAGAGATGTGCCAAAGATGGAACTTTGAACCTCTTACAATTTCTGTGATGCCACTGTCATTTCAAATTCCAGTTTGCACTTTTATCCAGTGGTTTAGGGAGAGTAATGAATACTTTGTTTAATTAGCTGCTGTCTTCTACTGCCCTGACCATTGCTGTTACTGACTCAGTTAAGAGCGCTCTGGAGGGGAGCAATGGATTCGTAGACCAGAACTGACTGCTCCACAGCTTATTTCTGGTTCCACTTCCAGGGACTGCTATTGCTTAGATTTGCCCTGTAGTGTAAATAAATGCTGAATTTGTAGTAGAAGGTTTCACTCTTCAGGACAGCATAGTGTATAGTAGTATAGTCTATATGGTGTGCTGGAACATGTCCAGAGGAGAGCAACCAAGCTGGTGAGGGGTCTGGAACACAAGTCATACGAGGAGCGGCTGCGCTGAGGGAACTGGGGTTATTTAGTCTGGAGAAGAGGAGGCTGAGGGGAGACCTGATCGCCCTCTACAACTACCTGAAAGGAGGCTGTAGTGAGGTGGGGGTCGGTCTCTTCTCCCTGGTAACAGATGATAGGATGAGGGGGAATGGTTTGAAGCTGCACCAGGGCAGGTTTAGGCTAGACATTAGGAAAAACTTCTTCACCGAAAGGGTTGTCAGACTCTGGAATGGGCTGCCCAGGGAGGTGGTTGAGTCCTCATCACTGGAGGTATTTAAAAGAAAGATAGATGAGGTGCTTAGGGACATGGTTTAGTGGTGGGATGGCAGGGTTAGGTTAAAGGTTGGACTTGATGATCTTAAAGGTCTTTTCCAAACAAAGTGATTCTATGATTCTATGATTCTATAGTAGGTATAAAGCAGTGTAGTACAGGAGGTTTGAGATTGTGCTGGTCATCAAATCACCCTGCCCTGCAACCCAAGTGCAAAGAATCCCAACTGCATCTCTTTTCCAGCCCCATCCATCCGGTGCCTCCTCCTGTGCTCTTCTGCTCATCGCTCCGTGCATCGCACCCCACGTCATTCTGTTACCATCCTCTGTTGTGAACTTCCTGTTACTGTACAACTGTAATTATGTTGTCCATATGCTAAGCAGGCATGTGAGCTCCAATTAGCAGCTCATTTCATACTGTGTGTCTTAAATGTTGTAGTTGGACATTTCTTCATTTATATATCCTCCTCCGTACACCGTCAGGAGTGTCCCGTGCTGGCCTTTCATTAGCCCTCTCGCGGGTGACAGATGGCCCAGTCTCATCTCTAACTGCTCAGCAGTTCTGCTCTCAAGCTCCACAATACTTTATAATTAGGCTTCACAATTACTAGGCTTTTCCTATAATGGTGGACAAAAAACGAGATAAAGAAAGGGTACCTGCATTCCATGCTGAAGAGCAGCAAAGTCGACTGGTTTGTCCTGAAAACAATAATTCATAGTCATTACCTGGACCTGGCCTGAGAAGCTGGTCAGGTTGTGAGCGCTGTGTTTGTGGCCCTACAGATCTGCAATGATTCCTATCAGCTGTGAACATGACCCCCTCGTCTTGGTTCCCTGCCCCTTCACATCTCAGGAGCACTCCTCCTCTTTCACAGGGAGGCAGCATGGTGCCCAATGTCGCAGTTAGCAGTAGAGACTGAATCGCATACACCAC